GCCCCTCATCACACAACTGGCCATGTTTTGCTAGATCCTGCCTCAGACTACTCCATAGCTACCCGCTGGCTAAGGTCTCCTAGAACTCAGAGGACGTTCAGGCCAGAAGGAACTTGAAGGTATATCTATTCCAATCCCTTATTTGAAAGATGGGAAAATAGAGGTCCACAGAGGAAAATAACCAGTTCAGTGTCACACAGCAGCTGTGTCCAGATTTCTAAGTCACTTCATTAATACCAAGTCCAAGGCTCTGGATAAAGTACATTGTACAAGTTTGGAATCATGCAGACCTGGGCTTGAATTCCACTTGAGAGACTCTGAGCAAGTTATTAAGCTTTCCTGAGTCTCAGCTTCATCAGCTATAAAGTGAATCTAATAGCACCTACCCCATGGGTCATTTCAAGGCTAAAATTAGATTAACCTATACCATCTTAGCACAATGTCTGATATACCCTAATGGACAATATTGGATAATTATACTTACTTAATGATTGTTAAACTTACAATTATTATTATTATTATAACTATTCTCCAGTTGACTCTACTTTATTAAACAAAATTCTATAGAGCATTACTTTCTTATATATGTCTAGGACCAGGACCTGTAAAGAGGTCTATAAAGGGCCAAATATAAACATTTTAGGTTTTGCAGGCCTCTGTTGCAACTACTCAGATCTGCCATTGTTGCACAGAGGGAGACATAGACGATGTAAAAAAGAATAGGTGTGGTTGTGTTCCAATAAAACTTTATTTACAAAAACAGGTGTCAGGCCAGGTTTGACCCACAAGCTATAGTTTGCCTACACTTGGTCTGGAACCATTATAACTGATGATTGTGCCAATACTTGTGACATAAAGCAAATACCTTCAGAATTGGGAAAAATTAAAAATGCTGTGTGAATTTAGCATAATCTTAAAGTGTATTTTATGATATTTTTAAAGTTGATAATCCATGTCTAATAGAAATTCAGTTAGTTAGAAATTTTGTTAAGAATCACAATAATAATAATTAGCACTAGACAAAGCATTCTATACACAGTCTCATTTAATATTCACAGTAGCCTTATGAGGGAGGTATAACTAAAAGCCCATTTAATAAGTAGCTAAGGTTTAGAGAGGGTAGATAATTTGCCCAAGGTTTATGGTATCTAGTGAAAGAGCAAAGATTTGAATCCAGAGCTGCTAGACTCCAAAGCCCATGTTTTTATTCCCTACCCTTTCCTGCCTCCCACCACAGGGCCACACCAGGAAACTGCGATTACTATTCATCAGCGCCTCTGTTAACACAGAATGTGTGTTCAGTGACACACACATTTGTTGGAAACTTCATCACCAGGGGTACTGGATAGGCAGGAACTAGGATGCCAGGAACTAAGGGCTGTGGCAAACACTAACTAAAACAATATCAAATACTGACTGTAGCTCAAAACACACACAAAATATATATATATATATATATATATATATATATATATATATAGGAGTGCTAAAATGAGGCAAAAGAAGACATGGGTTAAGTTTAAGAAGAGAAAGAAGAGGGACTTCACTGGTGGTCCAAGTGGTTAAGAATCTGCCTTCCAATGCAGGGGGTGCGGACTCGATCCCTGGTCCGGGAACTAAGATCCCACATGCCATGGGGCAACTAAGCCAGCACACTGCAACTACTGAGCCTGCGCACTTTGGAGCCTGCTCACTCGCTGCAACTAGAGAGAAACCCGTGCACCACAACAAAGAGCCCACGTGCCGCAACGAAAGATCCCACGTGCCTCAACTAAGACCCAACGCAGCCAAAAACAAATAGATAAATAAATATTTTAAAATTTACAAATAGGGCTTCCCTGGTGGCGCAGTGGTTGGGAGTACGCCTGCCAATGCAGGGGACATGGGTTTGTGCCCCAGTCCGGGAGGATCCCACGTGCCGCGGAGCGGCTGGGCCCGTGGGCCATGGCCGCTGGGCCTGCGCATCCGGAGCCTGTGCTCCGCAACGGGAGAGGCCACAACAGTGAGAGGCCCGCGTACTGCAAAAAAAATATATAAAAAATAAAAGAATTTAAAAATAAATAAAAACTACTATGATAAAAAAAAGAAGAAGAGAAAGAAGAAAGCACAGGCAGACAAGTCTGGCGCTGGTAGTGTAAATGCCTGATATAATTCTAGATCTAAGCAAACAGAGAGAGATGGAGAATTGGAGGGTGCATTCCCTAGCTATGGTGTGTTTCAACAAATAGTTACTGAGCGCCTTTTCTATGCCAACTGCTCTGTGTTTATTCTAGATTTTGGAAATGAGGAGGAGGAGAGGAGGGAGGATCAGGAGGAGAAAGAAAAGAGACAAAGAACAAAAAGAACAATCTCTGCTCTCGTGGGACTTGCATCCTATTGATGGAGAGACAGGTAATAATCAAAATAAATGAGAAAACCTATAGAATGAGGAAGAGTAAGATCTGTAAAGAAAAATAAAGCAGGGAAGAGGGAATCCATTGCTTGCAATTCCTTGACTAAGACTCAAAGAAGCTATTTTATTACGAAACAGAATACAAAATATGAGTTTACCTGGGAGCAGTAACATTTTTAAAATTACCTAATTAAAGGTGTAGTGAGCAATTTATTGGGAAGTATAAACATTAGAAATTTCCCTAACTTGATAGTCAAATGGAAAGGCAAAAAGGAAGAAAACAGGAGTGAGCAAACCACGCCTGGGGTGCAGTCAATCCTGTGAGGGGAAGATTTCAAAAGAGAGGTTTCAGCCACTGAGGATAAATGTGGCAGATCTGACAGATTTTTATGACTTAACCCAGCTTATACTGACTCAGAACAAAATAAATACAAGCTGCATGTAGAACTTCTAGGCTCATGACTTGGTATCATATGATTTATGAAGTCTGATTTTCAGCACAAGCTTTGTTCCAAAGGAACTCTATTTCAAGAGGTTCGTGAATTACTCAAAGATTATGATCACTCCCCCATAACCTAAAAAGTCCTCACTTCAGAATCATTTTGACTCTAGAGAAACAGCAGCCTCTGAGAGGATAGGGACTACTCCTTGGACAGTTGGATGGGGTCAGGCATCTAAGTAAGAAGTTTATGTTATACTTACACTTTTCATCAATAGCTGGAATTCTAAGTGTGGCCACTGGAGACTCCCCAAGAGAATTGTAAGAAATCGCATATACCCGGTAGGTCTTGCCTCCCAGATACAATTTAAGCTGCTGGTTAGTGGTGTTCATTGTCTCTGTGAGGTTAGTGTTGTTTTCTGGAAAATACTATATGTTGTAGCCAAGAGTTTTCTCCAGGACCGGGGCTCCTTTTGCCTTCTGAACACAGAGGAAACAAAATTTATTGCCAAAAGCAAAGAAAGAAAGGCATTGAGACAGTCATAAATGGTGGGAATCGGGGTGGGAGGTAATATTAACCATAAGGTGCTAAACTACAATCAGGTAATTACCCTGCCGGGATGCATAACAAACCCTGTGCCAATAACAGCTTTATTGAGATATAATTCACACACCAGAAAAGTCACCTTTTTGAAGTATACAATTCATTGGCTTTTAGTATATTCATAGAGTTGTGTAATCATCACCACTGTCTAATTTTAGTCCATTCTTTTTTAAGCAGCTCTAATTCTTAGAAAACTCCTATTGAAGCAAAAGGAAGACCAGCCCCCAGGCGAGGGGAAGGAGGGCATTGAAGTCCATCTCACGTACTTCACAGGTTGGCCTACTTGATCCACGTGGGTCTGGCCCCACACGGTATGTGCCACTGTTTACTTTCCTACCTCAAAAATATGTTGACAGGGTTTCTCTGGTGACGCAGTGGTTAAGAATCCACCTGCCAATGCAGGGGACACGGGTTCAATCCTTGGTCCAGGAAGATCCCACATGCCGCGGAGCAACTAAGTCTGTGGCCACAACTACTGAGCCTGCTTTCTAGAGCCTGTGAGCCACAACTACTGAAGCCCATGCGCCTAGAGCCCACGCTCCACAACAAGAGAAGCCACAGGGATGAGAAGCCCGTGCACCGCAACAAAGAGTAGCCCCCACTCACCACAACTAGAGAAAGCCTGTGCGCAGCAATGAAGACCCAATGCAGCCAAAAATAGATAAATAAAAATAAAATCTATAAAAAAATACATTGACAGAATCATTCGTTTCCACACTTGATAACTGAGAAAGAACCCACAACATCTGGGATTGATTCTCAAAGATTTCCCAATGCCACTGCCTGTGCTTTCCCTTGCCTGCTGCCTGCTGCCTCTGAGGGTGTCCCTCAGCCCTTGGGGTGGGAGGGGAAAGGAGAAAGGTAGAAGAATGCTCCAACCCTGATGTGATTGGGATTGGAATGCCATTTGGAAAAACAGGGTGATTTCTCCATTTGCAAAAGGATTTTAAACTTGCCTGAACTTGAGCAAGTATGAGATAACCCGATGAGTGTTACTTGAGAATTCTGGGGACACACCAAGGGTTTTTGGCATCTCATTGCTCTCCTTCCTCTCTTTCCCCCAGCTCCTCACCTCCTCTCTCCTGTTTCCTGGCTGTTTCTCCCCTCTGTTTGCCCTTTTCCTTTCCTGCTTCTTCCCCTCCTTTTCTGTCCCTTTTCTTACCATCTCCTCTCATCTCTCCCTCCTCGCTCATCTCCTTTGCATTACCCACCTGGCTCCTCCTTTGTTCCTCACTCCCCCGCCTCCATCCTACAAAGGACCCTTCTTCTATCCTTGCACCCCACTATCCCAGTACTCAGGAAGTCACTTGTACAGTATATGTTGGCAGTAACTTCAGGACACACCAGTCCTACGTTTTCTGAGCATTGTATAGATTTAACTCTTACATTTAGGTCTTTGATCCATCTTGATAGGCTAATTTTAACCAGAACATGAATAGAGAGATTGGGGTATGAGGTGGCCAAGCTTGGAAGCCCAGGTTCCAGTGCTTTTATTTCAGTGCCACTAAAGCACAGTTTTCACTTGGGTTTGGCTGTGGTGTTTGACTTTTATATTTTTCCTTTAGCCGAGACAGCCAACTCCAGCATCCTGCAGTATAGCCTGGAGTCCCTGACATGAAAGACCTCTTACACTGTTCAGGTCATGGCCAGCACCAGTGCTGGGGGGAACTAGTGGCACCAGGATAAACTTCAAGACATTGTCAATTAGTGAGTGTTCCTTCAGTCCCTGGGAATGTCTCCTTGGCATTTCCTTTAGGCTAGTCACAGATGATGTTTCCCGAAGGCAAATGAAAGGGAGAAGTGAGAAGAACCATTTGCTCTCTGACTCATTGGCCTTCCTGGAAAGCATATGGGTGAGGAGGGAGGAGGGAGAGCAGGAAAATTAAGAGCTGAATTTGGAAAGATGGGTCATTTTGCTTCTTCCTGGTTAGCCCCGAATCTTCTTAGGGAGGAGGGATCAAGTGAATGCCAACTTCACTGTCACTCCAAACCAGCTCCCACCTCAAGGCTATCCCCAAGTTCATAGTCACCAGTCCCTGTGTGTCAAACAAGGGAAAACCGTGGTTGATCAAGCACCATTGGCCCACTTAACCTCATTGTTTGTGGAGTAAAGTGTATAATATGTTCTACTAATCAGCTTTTATATTAAAAAATGGTAGCAAGAGGGCTTCCCTGGTGGCGCAGTGGTTGAGAGTCCGACTGCCGATGCAGGGGACACGGGTTCGTGCCCCGGTCCGGGAAGATCCCACATGCCGCAGAGCGGCTGGGCCCATGAGCCATGGCTGCTGAGCCTGCGCGTCCGGAGCCTGTGCTCCGCAACGGGAGAGGCCACAACAGTGAGACGCCCGCGTACCGCCAAAAAAAAAATGGGAGCAAGAAAAATTTAATAAATACAACAATAATGTAAAATATAATATGATTCATACTGTGGTTATGGGGAATATTCAAGAGGGAAAGAAGACAGGCTGAAGAGGGAGATGAAGCAGAAAGAAGGAAGGAGAATGGGAGAAACAGAAATCTCTGTCTTTGAATGACAGAGGTTTGATTTTAAGGATATACTAACACTTTAAAAAAAATGAAGCTTAAAAGTGAAGGAACATTGCAAAATTTTCAATAAAAGCTATAAATAGTCTAAGTATTCTTGAAATTCTCCTGTTCATCATCACACATCCAAAAGAATAAAAATAGCTTATGGTTCTGGAAAATGTGAGTAAAGTATGTGTTTTTACACAGAAAACATGTTCTGTTTTTATTGACTAACATTGTCTTTTGGGAGTTCTTTTTGATATTGCTCTTTAAAATCTTTTAAAATCATGTTATATTTTCACAACACTAGGCACAAATTGCATTATCTGATGGAATTTTCTCTACGGGTCAGATTGAAGGCAAGAGCCTGCCTTGGAGACTAGAAGTTTCTTACCCTTGGTTCTTTTGTTTGTTTGCTTTTCATTTTTTTTTATTGGAGTATAATTGCTTTACAATGTTGTGTTAGTTTCTGCTGTACAATGAAGTGAACCAACTATATATATACCTATTTCCCCTCCCTCTTGGGCCTCCCTCCCACACCCCCCCCCTCCGTCAATCCCACCCATCTAGATCGTCACAGAGCACCGAGCTGAGCTTCCTGTGCATGTTCCTGCTCACTATCTGTTTTACACATGGTAGTGTATGTATGTCAGTCCTAATCTCCCAATTAGTCCCACCCTCCCCTTCCCGCCCTGTGTCCATATGTCCCTTCTCTACATCTACATCTCTATTCCTGCCCTGCAAATAGGTTCATCTGTACCATTTTTCTAGATTCCACATCTATGCATTAATATACGATATTTGTTTTTCTCTTTCTGGCTTACTTCACTTTGTATGACAGACTCTAGGTCCATCCACCTCACTACAAATACCCAATAAAACCTTCCTATAGGAGTTCACTGTGTTCTGTGGTTTAAGTGGGTGTGCTTAATTGTTCTGGAATTTCTGATCAATTGAAATTTAAAAATCTTGTTGCAATAATAGTGGTTTTGCCACTCCCGATGGTTTGAGATGGATCTGTCCCGTGTTTGGTTGGGGTCTTATTCAGTGTGTGTTGCCACCAGCTGCTCACAGGTAAAGCAGAAATTCTCTTTTACCAGCAAGTTTCTGCTTTTTATTTTTAGAATAAATCATCAGGGAAATGAAGAGAGGATGCTTTTGCTTTGTATTGTGGTCAAGAACTGATTAAATAATTTAGTGACCCCGGCACACACTAAAAATCATACACTTCAGTTGTGATCTCAGTGGCATATTTGTTTGCTTATGTTTTATTATGTTTATTATTGCAGATGTTCAGTAGTTCATTACTTTCTCTTATTTTTTTTTCCGAAAATTTAATTTGCGGTTGTAACTACAGTGTTTGAGAACTCAGCATCCTTGTTTCCTACAACTACTGATTAAAACAAAATGCTGTAAAATGTAAAACATTGTAATTACCTTCCCATGTCTTTGTTGTATTTGTGCTGAAATGTTTTCACATTCCTTTGTCTGGAAGAAATTCTTTGCTTTCATTTTGATTATGTTGCTTACCTTGAAATCAATAGGTTTTGATATTTTCTCTTGGAAGATTTTATATATTTTTGGGAATATGTAATATATCTAATAAAAGATAAATATTATCATGTAAAAAACAACAACAAAAAACCTCATACCTTTTTATGGCTGAGTGATATTCCATTGTATATATGTACCACATCTTCTTTATCCTTTCATCTGTTGATGGACACTTAGGTTGCTTCCATGTCCTGGCTATTGTAAATAGAGCTGCAATGAACACTGAGGTACATGACTCTTTCTGAATTATGGTTTTCTCAGGGTATATGCCCAGTAGTGGGATTGCTGGGTCATATGGTAGTTCTATTTTTAGTTTTTTAAGGAACCTCCATACTGTTTTCCACAGTGGCTGTATCAATTTATGTTCCCACCAGCAGTGCAAGAGGGTTCCCTTTTCTCCACACCCTCTCCAGCATTTACTGTTTGTAGATTTTTTGATGATGGCCGTTCTGACTGGTGTGAGGTGACACCTCATTGTAGTTTTGATTTGCATTTCTCTAATTACTAGTGATGTTGAGCAGCTTTTCATGTGCCTCTTGGCCATCTGTATGTCTTCTTTGGTGAAATGTCTATTTAGGTCTTCCACCCATTTTTTAATTGGGTTGTTTGTTTTTTTGATATTGAGCTCCATGAGCTGTTTGTATATTTTGGAGATGACTCCTTTGTCTGTTGCTTCATTTGCACATATTTTCTCCCATTCTGAAGGTTCTGTCTTTTCATCTTATTTATGGTTTCCTTTGCTGTGCAAAAGCTTTTAAGTTTAATTACATCCCATTTGTTTATTTTTGTTTTTATTTTCATTACTCTAGGAGGTGGGTCAAAAAAAATCTTGCTGTGGTTTATATCAGAGTGTTCTGCCTATGTTTTTGTCTAAGAGTTTTATAGTATCCGGTCTTACATTTAGGTCTCTAATCCATTTTGAGTTTATTTTTGTGTATGGTGTTAGGGAGTGTTCTAATTTCATTCTTTTATATGCAGCTGTCCAGTTTTCCCAGCACCACTTATTGAAGAGGCTGTCTTTTCTCCATTATATGTTCTTGCCTCCTGTGTCATAAATTAGGTGACCATATGTGTGTGGGTTTATCTCTGGGCTTCCTATCCTGTACCATTGATCTATATTTCTGTTTTTGTGCCAGTACTATACTGTCTTGATTACTGTAGCCTTGTAGTGTAGATTAGTCAGGGAGCCTGATTCCTCCAGCTCCATTTCTTTCTCAAGATTGCTTTGGCTATTTGGGGTCTTTTGTGTTTCCATACAAATTGTAAAATTTTTTTTTTCTAATTCTGTGAAGAATGCCATTGGTAATTTAATAGGGATTGCATTGAATCTGTAGATTGCTTTGGGTAGTAGAGTCATTTTCACAATATTGATTCTTCCAATCTAAGAACATGGTATATCTCTCCATCTGTTTATGTCATCTTTGATTTCTTTCATCGGTGCTTTATAGCTTTCTGAGTACAGATCTTTTGCCTCCTTAGGTTTATTCCTAGGTATTTTATTCTTTTTGTTGCGATGGTGAAAGGGATTGTTTCCTTAAGTTCTCTTTCTGATTTTTCATTGTTAGTGTATAGGAATGCAAGAGATTTCTGTGCATTAATTTGTATCCTGCCACCTTACCAAATTCATTGATTAGTTTTAGTAATTTTCTGGTGGCATCTTTAGGATTCTCTATGTATAGTATCATGTCATTTGCAAACAGTGACAGTTTTGCTTCTTCTTTTCCAATTTATATTCCTTTTATTTCTTTTTCTTCTCTGATTGTCATGGCTAGGACTTCCAAAACTGTGTTAAATAAGAGGGGCAAGTGTGGACACCCTTGTCTTATTCCTGATCTTAGAGGAAATACTTTCAGTTTTTCACCATTGAGAATGATGTTTGCTGCGGGTTTGTCACATATGGCCTTTATTATGTTGAGGTAGGTTCCCTCTATGCCCATTTTCTTGAGAGTTTTTATCAAAAATGGGTGTTGAATTTTGTCAAAAGCTTTTTCTGCATCTATTGAGGTGATCATATGGGTTTTATTCCTTAATATGGTGTATCACATTGATTGATTTGCATATATTGAAGAATCCTTGCATTCCTGGGATAAATCCCACTTGATCATGGTATATGATCCTTTTAATGTGCTATTGGATTCTGTTTGCTAGTATTTTGTTGAGGATTTTTGTATCTGTATTCATTGATGATATTAGCCTATAGTTTTCTTTCTTTGTGACATCTTTGTCTGGTTTTGGTATCAGGGTGATGGTGGCCTCACAGAATGATTTTGGGAGGGTTCCTCCCTCTGCAGTTTTTTGGAAGAGTTTGAGAAGTATAGGTGTTAGCTCTTCTCTAAATGTTTGACAGATTTCACCTGTGAAGCCATCTGGTCCTGGACTTTTGTTTGTTGGAAGTTTTTTCTTTTTTTTTTTGGGCGGTACATGGGCCTCTCACGGCTGTGGCCTCTCCCATTGCGGAGCACAGGCTCCAGACGCGCAGGCTCAGCGGCCATGGCTCACGGGCCCAGCCGCTCCGCGGCATGTGGGATCTTCCCAGACCGGGGCACGAACCCGTGTCCCCTGTATCAGCAGGCGGACTGTCAACCACTGCACCACCAGGGAGGCCCCTGTTGGAAGATTTTTAATCGCAGTTTCAATTTCATTATTTGTGATGGGTCTGTTACTCTTGGTTCTTATAGATCTCCCTGCTTCTGTTTTTGATCCTCTACCATCTGTTTTCCACACAGCAGCCAGAGTTTAAAATCCTAGACCCCCTGCTTAAAACCCACCAGTGGCTTCTGTTGTATTTTGAATTCAATCCAAACTCCTTCCCATTGCTTTCAGGACCCTTCCTCATCTGTCCCTTCCTGACCTCACCTCCCACCACTTCCCGTTTATGTTCCCATTTGTGCTTTTCCTTCTGCCTGGAATGCTTTCCCCAGCATGAACGTGGGCAGTTCCTTCTCATTATTCACATTAGCTCAGATTTCTCTTCTCCAAGTAGTCTTCCTTTGCCACCCTATCTAAGGGTGCTAACCCCCTACCCACTTTACCCTACTCTCTATCACACCATTTTATCTGAAATAATCTTAGGTTATTTATTGTCTGAATTCTTGAACCAGAAGGTAAGCTCCACGAGAGTAGGGATCTTGTGTTTCTTGCTTCTTGCTATTTATTTTATTACCCAGAATAGTGTTTGGCAAATTGTAAGTGCTCAGAAAATGTTTACTAGATGAATGAAGTTGGAGGATGAACCTGGGGAACACAATTTCTGTCAGTATTATTCAGGAAGAAGAGAAATTGAATGAATTTGAATTAAATTGAAAGAAAATGTTTAGGGTATATGTTGCTGAAGCTACTGGAAGAAAACATTAATCTTTGATTTTTGTCAAGAAAGTAAGGGGCTCAACCTGCTACTGACTTTTGTTCTCCTTTTCTCAAAGGCGTCTTTGAGATTTTCGTTATAACTTCTCTGGTTGGAGGTGGCCTTCTTATTCTCATCATCCTGATGGTGGCATATGATCTCAAAAAACCCAAGTGAGTTTGTAGACAACAGTGTGGGCCCTCAAAATCAGGGGTGGAAAGGGGTGGAAGACACCATGGGTGGAAGAGGGCACACTGCCATTAAGGGGTGTCCATTCATTTATTGAGTTGATACATATTTATTGAATTTATTGTATGCCTTACACTGTGGCCCATCAGAATTCTAACCAAACAGGAGGACTTGTACCCCCGACAGCACTGTGCACCGGGCCTAGGACTTTTTGAAGCCAGGGAAGTGCCAGCTGCCCCAAGGGCCTTGTGTGCTGTGTTCGGCATCTGAGACTAGAGTTGGGAAGAAGATCCTCTCTCTGTGTGTCTAGAGGGGACCCGTGGCAGCAGCAGGGGCCCTCAAAGCTACCAGCCTCTCTCCCAGGCAGAGCAGGGAGCAGGGTGCCCATGGAATTAGAGCACTGGCCAGCGTCTGCCCAGCACAGGCGGGTCCTTGCTTGTGGCGCAGTGTCGGAGGGCTCGCTGAGGGCCATTTGTCCTGCCTGCTCTGGCCACTGTAGGGAAGGAAGCTTGTCTTCAGGGTCTTGTGCTTTCTCTCTCCAGAGAGCCTCATTCTACCCTGAGGGTCAAGGGCTCTCTCCCCCTTAGACCGCTCTCTCCAGAGTTCCACAGTCGTGGGCCTTCTCTGCCAAGCAGCTGTGCTTAGTATGGCCAAGCTAATGTCAACCTCAGTCAGCTTTGGGTTGTAAGCGAGTCATCAGCACACGTTCTCGTACATTTTGCACGTCTGACAAGCTCCCAGGTGGTACTGATGCTGCTGGTTTGGGACCACACTTTGAGAATCACTGCTCTGAAGTGTGGGTATCTTGTAAGGCTTAGAGTGTTACCTTTCCTGGGGAATAAATCTCAAGGAAATGGCTCTGTGATGGTGTGATTTTCGGCATCAGGACCAGGGTGTGGAGATGCAGGGGTGGGAGAGCAGGGAAGAGTAAGAAAAGCTTTGCCTGGGGAAAGGTCTCCTCCCATCACGTCCCATAGTTGACTTGCAATTTCACTCCCCAAAGTACTTTGCTTTCCCAGTTTCTGTCAGGAGGCTGTGAGCTTGCCCTTATTCAATAGGGAGCCATACAATTCCCTGCATTGAAGCCCTGCTCTTTTGGCTTGGCCATGCAGTAGAAGTAAAATGCTTCTTGGACTCACTTCCTATTTTAAAATCTTATCTCTTATTAGCAAATTAAAGCACCTATGTTGGCCCAATGTCCCCAACCCTGCTGAAAGCAGTATAGCCACATGGTGTGGAGATGATTTAAAGGTAAACACTCTTGTTTTTGTTAAGGAGATTGTTGAGCAGGCTGGTTGTGGGAGGTGGACAGGGTGATGGACTGAGGTTTGCATAGGGTTCACATAAAGAGAACTCGAGGTTAAAAAGTCCCAGGGAATGGCTGGGAGGACAGGTGGAATCAGCCTTCCTGGAATGACTTTGACCTCATTCTTTGGACAAGAGGAAAGGGCTTTACCAGGCTCATAGAACCCAGTGTTTGCTGGGCATAAAACTGGTCCTATAAAGGGTGCCACGGAAGAGACACTGGCCCTACCCTTAAGGACCTGACTGTCTAACTAGAAAGCAGGAGAACCCAGCTATAAGATTGGAGACCATTTAAAAAGCAGCCAAGAGCAAGTTAATCTAGAGACCACCTGGGGACCCGAGGGGCCGCTAATGTGCATTTCTGTCCAGAGGCTGGGGCAGGCTGCATCAAATTGTTTTTCTCAGATTGGAGACATTGGCAATGGGGTTTTCTAGGGAGTTATCCATAATAGAAACCTCCCATTTTCATACATTTTTAAATTGAAAACTGTTCTGAAATTTTAAGGTTTAATTTCTTGGTTAAGTAGAAAGAAGCCCAATCAAATACAACCTTTAAATCCTTGTTATTGAAGGACTGTTTCCAATATTCCTTGATAAGGAATTTTTAATATTAGCCCCTGTTTCAACTCAGAAGTCTTTTTTTAACATGGGCGTGAAAATTATTTTTATTATTTATTTAATTAAATTTTGGTTGTTTCTATTTTCTTCTCTATCATTCATGTGTTACCTTATTTAATTTCCTTACTTACCAAAAATTATTAAGAGAGTAAACTAATTCATAGGCAGTCTTGTCTGATGTCTAAAATGTTTTTTGAATAATCTGTAGGTCTGGCCTCTGTAGCAGTCACTTATTAATCACTCACTATACGCCAGGCAGTGAGCTAGGCTCTGGGGATACAAAGATGTCGGACACCACCCCCACCAGGAGGCCACCTTTGATTTTCTGGTGATGTTGGGCAAGTTATTTGTCTTTGTGATAATTCTAATTTTGGTGCTTCCATCTTCACTGGGATTTTATGAGCATATGATTATGTGGAAAATAGCCTTGAGCTCTCTAGAAGAAGAAATTGTTTGAATATACTGCATTCTTCTCAGGAAATGGACCACTCTTGCTAACCTCCCATGGAAGGGCACCACTTCTGGCCTCTAAGAGGGGGGCTGGTCCAGAGGTGGGGCTTTGGGTGTTCCAAGCCTAATAGCTTTTGGCTACATCATATGTGGCCCCCAAATGACCATTGGGGTGTCCCTTTCTCTTTTCCAGGATAAGCTAAATCTGAAGGAGTTTGATGACTCTGTGAACACAGAAGAAGACGGGATTCTAAAACCATGTTCTGCCCCCAGTGACCTTATTGACAGGTTGTGGTAAATTTTGAGAATTTTCTGGAAGTGGTTTCCACAGAGGAAGCTGAAAAGGGTCAGGAAAATATCTTGGGAGGGGAAAAGAATGAGTACATGACCTCCCCATATGGGACTTATTGTCCCGCAGTTTCAGTCGAGATTCCACCGAGAGAATCGCAACACCTACGTTCTGGAACGCCAGAGGGGATTCTGCTCAGAAGCCAAAGAGCATCCTCTCCCTCCTACCCAAGGTTTAGGGCCAGACCATCTCTGTGGGGAAGGAGCACCAAACCCATACTTGAAAAATTCAGTGACAACCAGAGAATTTCTCATGTCTGAAAAACTTCTAGACCAAACCCAAAGAGAAGTCTAAGTGCCGCCACGGCTTGAATCCCCCTACGTCTCAGTGTGCATGACTCAGAGAGAAGACTTGGCTACAAGAGCTTCCTTAGCGTCTCCCCATCCCGCTTGTGTTAGAGAAAGTTTCTCACACCCCCGAGTGACTCGTTGAGCTTGGTTGGCCCAGACGTGTAGCTTGCTCGAGAAGAAAGGATGGTGGACTTCCCTGGTGGCACAGTGGTTAAGAATCCGCCTGCCAATGCAGGGGACACGGGTTTGAGCCCTGGTCTGGGAGGATCCCACATGCCGTGGAGCAACTAAGCCTGTGCGCCATAACCACTGAGCCCACGTGCCACAACTACTGAAGCCTGCATGCCTAGAGCCCGTGCTCTGCAACAAGAGAAGCCACCGCAATGAGAAGCCTGCGCACTGCAACGAAGAGTAGCCCCCGCTCTCTGCTCGTGCGCAGCAACAAAGACCCAACGCAGCCAAACATTAATTAATTAATTAATTAAAAATAAAGATTTAAGGGCTTCCCTGGTGGTGCAGTGGTTGAGAGTCCGCCTGCCGATGCAGGGGACACGGGTTCGTGCCCCGGTCCGGGAAGATCCCACGTGCCGCGGAGCGGCTGGGCCCGTGAGCCATGGCCGCTGAGCCTGCGCGTCCGGAGCCTGTGCTCCGCAACGGGAGAGGCCACAGCAGTGAGAGGCCCACGTACCGCAAAAAAAAAAAAAAAATTACTTCTTCATTCCGGAGAAGGATGGTGATCAGCCTGAGCACTTTGCAGAGGAAAAGCAATTTATTTACTTTTGTTCAGATAACAAGCTCTCGCTAAGGCCTCTGATGGATTGACTTGGAGGGGCAGTGGACACCAGAGGCGGACATGTCTGGCCTTCCTGAGGAATTGGGCCATGGGCACAGTCTTTGCTGGGGCCACTCCTCGCAGCTCCAAGAGAGACTTTCCCTGTTGCCAAAGGACAGTTGCTTAGTTGGCACTTGGGTGGTCTGCCAGGAGGCGAGGCTTTCTCCCTCCACCTTGACCTCCCTGGCTCCAGGCTACACCTCTGAGGTAGTGCTGACACCACTTTAGAGATTAAGTCTCTCAACATAGGGGTGGGAGGTGGTGTGGCCCTCCTGATGGTGCGCCTGAAATGCCTCATTACCCTCATTAAATCTCAAGTGTCTGTAGCAAAACCCCCACCCAGGGCTCTTGCCCTTGGTCCACTGCCATGGCTGGGGATGGAGGAACGAGGGAGGGCCTTGGCAGCGCACTGGGGAAGGGACTCTCACCGGGCCGGCAGGGCCACACCACTGTCCAGGCCACTGCCCAGCCCTGCAGACAGTTCCTGGAGGCCCTCACTGCCCCTCTATCTTGCACCCAAGCCTGGGAATAGAAAGATACCAAAGACTGCAGCAGCTTTTTACAGGGACTCTGTCCCCTCACACTGGCTCAGAGCCCAGGAATGCTTACTGAACACACCCTTCAAAGGCCTCTTCCCAGAAGCAGCTAAGCAGGGCCTGTGGACATGGAATGCTTAGCACCTGTGCTGCTCCAACACCAGGACTCCTCTGCCTTCGTGCGGCAAAGCCCAGGGCTTGCAACCATGGCTGGAGCCTTTAGCTCAAGTGCTAATGGCAGATACCTGGGAACTTATGGCTGGTCCTGGGCTCCTACCCTGAGCACAGTGACATCACATGACTTCCTGATGTGTGGCTAAGACTCACCTGGCCATCAGGGGAGGTCGCTGAGAGCCTGGTGAGATGGGGGCAGCAGGGCACAGTGAGCCCGGCATTTGCCAGAGAGAAAGGCTGACAGTAATTTTCCTGAGTGCTTGAGAAGTCAGTGCTTGTGTAGCGGGCACAGACTTCACAAGCCACCGACTCAGGTGTGCAAAACCATCACTTTACTTTTCTAGAACTAAACTTAATTTCTGGCCCAAGCCCCTGGCCTTTCGAAGTGGCCATGGCCCAGTGCAATGATTTGCGTTGCCTCAGGTTTGTAACTCTGTCTCACTGGGGATTTTGTGCCCCATCCACCCTGGGACTGGCTCTGAACGCCAGCGGATGTTCAGGAGAGCAGCACGGAGTCTGCTGCCCAGCGCTGGGCAGGGATGTGCCTGCCCGCCTCTCCGCCACCTGCCACTGTCCTCAGCCAATTGCTGAATCCTTATCACAGGTACAAGCAGGGGGGATGCTTTCCCAAAGCGCTCTCCTCATTAAATCTCCAGCGTCTGTAGCACCCTCCCACCCCCCAAATTCATCACTCCTAGTTTACAGAACAGCAACTACTGATAAATCAAGGAATAAGGGGGGCCTGGAGCAGGGCTCTGGGGAACCTGTGTCCTGGGAGTGGAAAGGGACCAAACGAAGGGGATACATGGGGTCCCGGCTGTGGTGGGTTCTCTCCGCCCTGATACCTCCCCCACCCCCGACTGTTGTGATGTGGGCACTTCTATGAGCCGCCAGTCCCTCAGAGTTCCAGACGGGGCCCTTTCCACCTGCTTCTGATTTGTGAACTCACAGGGGGTCCTAGCTTGGTGCCCCAAAATTCCTCCCTCCCTCCTGTGACCCTCTGCCACCTCCAGCTGAGGGACGGGGGCGGGGCGGAGGAGCCCCTCTAATCTTGTTTGTCTCACACCTGGGTGAGGCTTTTGAACCTGAAGTCCAAGAATCTGATGGCTGGGGAGAAAAGAAAAGGTCACAGATGGCTTCTGTGAGTGGGTTTCAGAGATGAAGATGTTACCCTCTTCTCTCCTCCCCTTATTATTCATTAAAGCCTGAATGAATTTTGCAAATACCACACCCTGGCCCTTTCTTCCCTTTTCTCACTTTCCTTCTTGCCTCCTGTCTTCTGCTTTTTTCCCACGACTCCCAGCAGCTTCTCATCTTTTTAACACTTCCTTTTTTTTTTTCCTATTTCTTGTTTCTCTTCTTTTTATTCCTTTCTCCCCTTCCCATCAGCCCCGCTTGTATGATTTCCAAATTTACTTTTGCTACCTTTGAGGGCTAGGGAAATCAGGGCCCTCTGTTTTGTTCTAGATGGTCCAAGATAGTTCCACAGGAGTCAGCATCTCCTCTAGTAAGAGGGGCAGGAAGCCCAGAAGTGCATTCTGCAGGCCACACACTTTGCTCTCCAGAGCAGATCACAGGACATGGCCTAAAAGAAGGCAGTGGTGACCTTCCTCTCCTGGAATTGAATCATGAACTGTCCCCACTCCCAGTGTCCTGTGCTGCCTCTGTGACTCGAGAAGGTCATCTGTGTTTTCTCTGTTAACTGTCAGAGAGACGTTGAGAGGACACAAACAGGGAAACTTGTGTTTTAGCAAGGTCATTAAAAACTGATAAAATTCCCGTTAGAGTTTTCTAGGGCTCTGGGAACCATGCAAACAGCTACGTCAGTGCCCTATCAGTAGCCTTTCTTTTACAATAATATCAGGGAAAAAAATTGTTAAAGAATGGCAGAGAAGCCAATTTGTGGTTAAAAAAGAGGGATGATACCTTCATTCTTAGGTGGCTGCAGTAAAACACACAGTAAAAGCACCAGGTGCAGGGCGGGTCCGGGTGGGGAGGGACGTGGCTTGAAAAGGGCCCCAGCGGTCCCCAGGCCGCTCCTACCTCGTGCGGGGAAAGCCCGTGCGGCCTGCCGGGCGCACACGCAGCCCGCGACCCCGCGCCCCGCTCTCCGCCGACCCCTACTAACTGCGGCGGCTGCAGGCACGCTGCAGACCCGGGCTCAGCCAGCTAGTCCTCAGGCCCAGTCTGGGCCCTGTTTCTGTGGACCTATGAGCTAGAAATGATCCTGACATTTTGAAAGGCTAGAAAACGAAATGAAAGGAAGAATAACGTTTTAATGAGGTGTGAAAATTCCATAGAATTCAAATTTCAGTGTCTACCGGTGAAGCCTAATTGGAACACAGCCATGCCATCCTTTATGTGTCACCCGCAGCTGCTACCCACACACAGACAGAACTGAGTAGTTGTGACAGAGAGTTTCTCCTACAGAACCTAAAATGATCACCATCTGGCCCTTTACAGAAATAGTTTGCTGGCCCACCCCTGTGTAGCCCACAGACATGGGGCTCAGACTGCACAAAGCACTTTAACTTGGAAATGGTTGCTAATGAGAAAAAACAAATCAGACTGTGTCATCCTGGGTTTCTAACCGGATAGGGATGGCCCCCTTAGAGGGGCACACATCCCTGGCTCGCCAGAGCCTTCACAGTCCCTGTCCCTGCTGCCCACAGACAAGCTGGAGACTTGATGGCTACTTACCACTTACTCCAGTGGTCCTTGACCCAGGTCATTTTATCTCCCGTCCCCCAGCTGTCACACGTTTGGCAATGCCTGAGGATCCGAGCTAACCTCTGCCCTGGGCCCACGGTACTTGCCATGGGTGCTGTTCAGCCTCCATACAGAGCTCGAGGTAGCACTCTTTTTTTTTTGTAAATTTAAATTTTGTTTTGGACTCAACTTTACAACAACATCGACGACAAAAATCTAATACCAATTATTTATATCATTCTTAATTCACGCCTGATATGATCTGTGTGTCCCTGTACATGTTTTCATCTATTTCAAGTTATATATTGATTCAATTGCAGTCTCCCTTTACTGTCACTTATTATTTCGTGTGTAAAATTCCATGTATGAAAATAGCTCATGGTGGCCACACGGAACCCCTCGGTGTACCTGCGTGTCGTGGCTTGCTAAGAATTGTTTTAAATGTCCTCCTCGTATAGAGAGACACTTTAGGGAACTTCTTGCACAAAATTTTCTTTTCCCACCTTTGTCCTCACTCCTTGGGGCTGTTTCCAGAGGTAGAATGGCTGGGTCAGAGTTTTATGGTTACTGCATGACTGTGCCCCGCAAAAGCTACACTGATTTGCAATATCACCAGACACGTCTGAAGTATCCTTTGTCCTTTGCCGCTGATAATCAGCTCTTCACTGCTGTTAATTGGATTTTGTCAGTTTACTGGGTATGGTCAGTGAAACTTCATAGTTATTTGTGTTGCTTAAATCATTATGAAGCTAA